ACTGTTCACGTGTTCGGTTTAAGAACAACCAGGAAATTGCTGTTGCTGTTGCTGAACGACACTCTAAATTGTTATATTTACGAGGTTCCAAACAATGCAACGGGGTCAGAAAACCAACTGTGATATCTTCAATGTCCTTTCTGACTCCGAAGAAAACAAACCGATTCTGCAAGGGGTCACTACATAAGTAACCTCTTTGGAGCAGACAGACCAATTACATGACTGACTATCAGGATGGTCCTCAGGTCAAAACAGCCATTTCTATAAGAGAAACAAACGTGTTATTACTGGACACGTGTTTCTATTTATTTCGGAGAAATTCTTAGTGCAAACTAATCTGAAAGAAACTTATAGCAGTTTATTGAGAGTCTGATGTAGTTTTGTATTAGTTTCATTTGGTAGAATACCCACATCAAGCATATCGGGGAAAATACATGTATGTGATAAAATCTGATGAGTTCCTTGATATATAATCTGCAAGTTTAAGATTCACATCATATGCCACTATATCTTTGAAATCCACGAGTTGTGTCAAAGGCAGTTAAATCATAGGTTTCCGTTCTCGATACATGTGTTTCGAGAGCGGCATCCCTGGATTTCAAAGATACTACCTCTGACGTCATTGTCAAAACCCTAAATCTGCATGCTCAACTGACTCTATTAGGTGTTTACATGTGTTGGAGATACCTGCACGTGATGTCCAGGTGAGTTGGACAGGTAAGTCAACTCAAGTGAACAGCCTCCCCACTGGAGCGCCATCGATCGAACACGACTAGCAATGTTATTTACATCCGAGGGAAATTATACGTTTCCGGCTAGGATTAATGACCAGTGTGGGCAAGATCGAAGCCATGTTATAGCTTTAAAATTGACATAAAATAAAAACCTTATCGACTCGCATCAGAACACCCCCGGTCTTATGTTTAGAAAATATTGCCGAGCGACGAGTATTCCCATGATTTTATTCGATAATTGTCGGAAAGTAACTGTCCCTGTTTTCAAATGATGCACTTTTGTAAAAATCAAATTATGATAAATACCGTACATGTCCTGTATTGATCTGTTTTCCATAAAGCATATAGGAAACCTTACTGTTGACGATGTAGGACCAAGCCGTGTCATACCTACACGACTACATATTGACAACCCAACAGTTTATAATAACTGACCAGATATGCCCTTGGAAAGTGTGACAGTATTGAACTATCCAATACAGTTTAGGGGTTTCAATCGATTCACAAGGTAGCCTGGTTAAACAGTTCCATTACAGAATCGTACAAGACGTAGACCAGTTGTTATTTATTCGATTAAATAATTGAAATTAAATGTTGTTTGAAAGTAGTGTACGTCTGTTCAATCAGACTATACATGTGTCGTTAATCCGGAAATGTTCTCCTTTATTCCAGCACACATTGAGTTGTCCTTCTTTATTCGTCATTGATAAGTTGTGAGAAAATTCAAAGGAGTATGTGTATTTCTCCTGAAACCCTTCTCGGTTTCTGTTAGAACGAGGCAGACACTGTATATCTGGAATCACCCCGAGAATACATGGATGAATGCCGTTCATATCTCGAGATTTTTTAGGGTAAACGGTTTGAAGTATTTAATTGACACCAGCCTCTTCGTCTTCTCGAAACTCTATCTTGCTGTGCGTGATTTTAGTAGGATCAACAGATCGTTCTTGCACGTTACGCTTATGAAGAAGTTTTGCGACGAGAATGCGTTTTTCTCTGTATCCTTGCCGGTTTTTGTGCTTTTGTCTTCAGAGCTTAAATATAGGTCTCCTATTCCCTCTCTGTGTTAAATATGCTGAGCTGAACAAGCAAACGAGTCTGTGAGTTTAATACCGGATAAAGGAATGTAAATTAAAGTCGGATTATGTTCACATCAATTGTTTCTGAAAGATGATCTGGCTTTGAATCATAACTCTTCCTTCTCTGATTTGAGTACAAACATAATGACATTGCTGCAGAGGGTTCATCCTATGTGATAAAACACTTTACCTTCCGGGGCATATGGTCTTGTGTCCAGGTCGTAATAGAGACTCATTAACCCGTTTGACTTTCTCTATAACACATGTTGTTTTTCTTTTGTTTTGTTGCCTTAATGTTCATGTTGTTTTCTGTTCATATTGATATGGAGTTCCAGTTGAATATTCTTTCTTTGTCTTTGTTTCAGTTCCGCTCATACATTTCCATTTGTTAGGTGTCTCATAGGTTCATGTTCTTGTCGAGTGGTGACATTTATTTTATTTTATGAAAGTTAATGACTTTTTGTTTTTATTTTGTTTCGGTGTCTATAAAGTGTCAGCTCTTACCTTTTGATATCCGCTGTTGAGTATTGGCACTGTGAGTTTTTGTTTTACTTTATTTTTTCATTCATTTTTGTTTTGTTTCGCATGATCCGAAATATATCATGGTTATCTCCCTTTGTTCGGTCATTTATTAATTTTTAGAAATGTCGAACTATTTTAACAGGAAAGTTGTTGATCACGCGTTTCTCAGGAATTGGTAGATATTGATCTTCTATCTATAATTATAGATCACCTGATGCTAGGCTAACTGTGAGTGATTAGCCCATACCTGGATCATTTGGAATCGGGACATGAGACTCGACCTGTATTGATTTATTATAATACCGACAGTTGTCTCCCTTCAAACGAGATCGCCAACCATAGACATGTATGTTAGATGGTAGAATAGATTTTAAAGATTCCTAATGATACTTTATTAGTTTTGATAATAAAAGTTTAACAATAATTTCTACAATGACTGATACAATGCAAAGTAGCAATCAAATGAAACCAAACGAATTTAGCTGATAGGTCGCAATTGAGTGGTTCCAAATAGGCAGATTTACCACACACGAGTAAAACAAAACTCATTCAAACAAATTTAATTGATAGAAAATCAAGGGGTTGGACACAAGCCCGGACAACTTCAACACATAGTAACTAGAGATAGACATTGATTTGCCATGTTCAACTACTTATTCCACGCGGGTTTCGTAACATTAAGTACATAAGTGATCCGAAATATATCTTGATTATCTTTGTTTGTTTGGTGATGTTTTAATGTAATAGACACGAGACTTTTGTAAAAGGTAACTATTTGACCATTTGTGATGGTTGTGAGGAGAGATTGTGACCATAATGTGTACTGACCTCAGACTTCATTAGAGATTGTATGGGAACTATTAGGGGCTGTTAGGGATTCCTGTCTATATTTAAACACCTATTAACATGGAGGCCCCAAAGGAAAGTCTCGGGCTTATACGAAGTAGGATGTGGAAATGGTCATATCGTAACCTCGATATAGCAAAGTAAAGATATGGTCATATCGCAACCTCGAATAAAAGTACAGAAATGGTCATATCGTAACCTCGAAATAGCAAAGTATGGAAAAGGTCATATCGTAACCTCGAAATAGCAAAGAATGGAAATGGTCATATCGCAACCTCGAAATAGCAAAGTATAGAAATGGTCAAATCGTAACCACAAAAATAGCTAAGTATAGAAATGGTCATGTCGTTACTTCAAAATAGCACTGTACAGATATGGTCATATCGTAACCTCGAAATAGCAAAGTATTGAAATGGTCATATCGTAACCTCAAAATAGCAAAGTATAGAAATGGTCATGTCGTTACTTCGAAATAGCAAAGTATAGAAATGGTCATGTCGTTACTTCGAAATAGCACTGTACAGATATGGTCATATCGTAACCTCGAAATAGCAAAGTATAGAAATGGTCATATCGTAACCTCAAAATAGCAAAGTATTGAAATGGTCATATCGTAACCTCAAAATAGCAAAGTATAGAAATGGTCATATCGTAACCTCGAAATAGCAAAATATAGAAATGATCATATCGTAACCTCGAAATAGCGAAGTATAGAAATGGATAATTGTCCTTCGTAATGAAATTGACGTGGAATATTTCTTGATGTTATCATTAACAAGTAACCTCTAGGTGACGGACGTAGTTCGGTGTTCCTGAATTATTATTATAGAATAAAAACACCTTATAGATATGTAAACAAAGAAATATCACCCATTATATGTAGTCCCTCGGGTATCTCTGATAGCACTTTTACATAGTGCGGTGATATGCTATGCACCGACATGAAATATTATTTCGCGCTATAAACCGGGTCTCTCCAAGATTTCGGATTATCATGTATAGGGGTATTGCCTATATCTCCTTCGGCCATCCAAACAAGTTATATATTTCTATTTACAGTCGTTGTGTACAGTAGTTTTACTTATACATAAATGCATTCCATAAAAAAAAAATAGTCTCGGTCGACTGATGTGACGTCCATTACAGGTATCCAGCGATATGATCTCTTAACAAGCAAACGAGACCATTTTGTAATGATTAGATGGTATCTTGTAACAAAAGCACGAATCGGTTACATTCTATACAATTCGTTATATGTAATTATGAGGCCATATTGGATTCCTACCCAGAAACTTAAAAATAACACATCATGTTAACCATCAGAAGGACATTTTCCATGTTCAGTATTTTATGTGTATGCACATTTCCTATAAAAACAAATGGTAATTAACTGAGTTTGTAACCAATTGGGAAACGGAATCGTCCCCACCGACTTGTAACGCTCTGTCATATTGTCTGATAAAAACATGACAACTGTGGCAGTTCTAATGCAAATTTATAATTAGATATTTCATGTTACGTAGAGAATCGGTTCCAAGATTAAAGTTATTCTGGATACATACACGATTTAAATCCATCTATAAGCTTTACGCTTCACAACGTGTTTTTCATTCTTCATATATTTTAAAACATCTCTCTTAAACTTTTGCACAACAAGTACGTTAATTGCCGATTTAATAGCGTAGTTTGAATCCGAGTAGGTGTACGTGTGAGTGTGTGTCGTGATGTGTTTCTGCCTATATAATATTGTGACAATACTGAGAGGAAAACAACAGCAAGTAAAATAAATGAGAAAATAATTTTAATCATTAAAACGTCCACAAATAACCAACAATGAATACGTTATGACATTGGAGAGTATAACAACGGAGAGTATAACAATCGGAGTTCGCAGTCCGTACCGGGCTTACATACATAAATATATTATCATTATAATGATATGAAAATATTCCAAACCTATATCGGGCGTTATCAATGTATAGAAAGAGAATCTCCGAGGTGGGTTATATCTTACATAGATGGGCATTTGTCGATATGTAATCACGTCGAACATATTAAAAGTAATATACAAGTAAATGTACCCATGGTGACTAATTCCGTCTGATTTATCATCGCCTTTGGGGGCAGAGAAGCAAATACTGAAATGTAAGATAAAAACCCCAAAAATCAGCACGGCCACTTATACCGCCACATCCATACCACGTTTAATGCAACATTCTTTCCCAGGGCCGCTACCATGCATCGTCATTCTCATTAACAGGGTACCGTCACTTTGCCTTGCTCAGAGGCTGTGATCTTCGTGATAGCAACGTCCATCACAACCGAAGACACCTTGGTATCAAACAGACTGTTATACAAAGATTTATCAAAATCGGGTACGTTGTATTTATCAATTGTAAACTCAAAACAAAGTGATGAAAAATGTTCTGCTAAAATAAACTCATCACAGTGATTATGTATCCTTAAGAGCCATAAGTCAGTCTTTCTTGCGCTGGGAGTTGCGACCTCCCTCGTCAGGTGAGCGGCGTATCTGCTGCGTGCCGCCATTGTTGTTGGGTTCCTCTATAGGGACTTGGAAGGCGTGCCAGAGCTTGACTGTGCCGTCATAGGAAGCGCTATAGAGCATACCCCTGTGTACCTGTATAACAGAAATGGTATGTTATATTTGTTAATTTTTGCATAGATTTAAGTTATACGTATTAATTCATTTCATTGCAGTATTCCGTTCATGTAATAATGCCATTTAACAAACTTTGACTTGTACAATATCAAAAATTATATTCATGTTTTATCAACATGCATTGGCTATTTTGTCTGATTTATTGGCAAATAATATTTATATGATAATTATATAATGTTCCTATTTTAACAGCCTACCTTAATTGCTGTATATAACTGACTAGTACGTAATTTGATATGATAATTACATAATATTTGTATTTGACAAGACTATTTTGATACTATAATACTTACTATAATATAATATCAACATGATAATAATTTAATGTTTTCATTTGACCAGCCTACCTTGATTTCTCTATCTTACTCACTAGTATATGATATAAAGATAATGTTCCTATTTGACCAGCCTATCTTGATTTCTCTATCTTACTCACTAGTATATGATATACAGATAATGTTCTTATTTGACCAGCCTATCTTGATTTCTCTATCTTACTTACTACTATAATATTTAAAGATAATGTTCCTATTTGACCAGCCTAACTTGATTTCTCTATCTTACTCACTAGTATATGCTATTAAGATAATGTTCCTATTTGAACAGCCTACATTGATTGCTCTATCATACTCTCTAGTGTATGATATTAAGATAATGTTCCTATTTGACCAGCCTACCTTGATTGCTGTGATCCCCTTCTCGTGACCAGAGAAGCTCCGTAAGAGACGCCCCGTGTCGGGATCGTACGCTCGGACAAGTGTGTCGCCACACCCGGTGAATACTGTAAGTGATAAAATACAGCTGTAGTTTGATACCATTAAATTATTCTGAGGTGAGTCTGTATAATTCTGTTTTGATACGTTCTAGGAATATTCACGTAAATAGTAATAATCCCTAAAAATCGACTTATTATTTTTCAGACAATCAACTACATTAACAATCATCCGTTTTAATAACAATAATTAGTGTCCAAATGTTTTCCTACTGCCCTTTATTTCATTGTTATTTCACGTGCATAAGTCCTTATTTTTACGTCATTTTTTTCAAATGCTACATTACGCAGGAAATGGTCGAAGCGGGCTGCTACTATGGTAACTATGGTAGCCGTGGTTGCTATGACAATATAGTTCGAGGGAATCTATATCGATATATGAGTAGATTTAGAAAATCCACAGTGAACAGCACTATTTTACTTTCTTTCACAGCTCTTGAATAAGTTTAAAGGTAAGTAATGCGAGAAGCACTTCGAACATGTTTATCCATTCATAACGGTCGTCATATTGACATACTGCTCGTGGAGGGACGCGGTCGAATGTTTTAGAACGAAGCCGCCAGTTTATACGCTACCGTCAAAGATATTTGAATGTGCATCTATAGAATACGAAGTTTGCAAGCATCCCTTTGTTGTATTATAACACATAATGGAGACCGATTATGTTCTATGTATCTAGTTGTAGAAGGAACCAGGGAATGGTTGACATCGGACTGTTATCTCGCTGAAGCGTGAACGGCGCCATATTTGAATAAAATCATAAAATGACGTTAATCGAATAGCGTTCATTTAAGCATTGAACTGTTTTTGTATGATATTTATGATCTATTTGAATGACACAGCTTTGCAAGCAAACAACATAAGGCGCGCTGTGTCATTCAAATAGGTCATAAATATCATACAAAAACAGTTCAATTCTTATATTTACGTTTTCTCTGCCTCTTATGTTCTTTTTTAACTTATAATTTATAATTAAAATTAAAAATGCCCGCCTTATCGGCAGTCCACACACTTTCGTTCAATAGTTTGAACAGCGTATTGTCGCGTGCTGATTGGCAAACAAAGTAGCACTTTGACATTTTCACGAACACTTCAAATTTATTCCACAATTTAGTATCAATACAATTGCGTATGCTTTGTCTATAGGGTGATTCCAGTTTTTCAATAGAAATCTGAGCTGAAAGTTAGATTTGAAATTGTTTTGATTTTCCCCCGGAACAAATTTCGCGCATGGATAAATACAGTAAACACCGTGAATGGGACCTTGACCTCCACGAGGGAGTTATTTTTGGAAGTTTTTGTGAAGAATCCAGGCGTGAATGTATTTGTTGATTGTATGGGAACCCGACGCAACAATCGGTAGATTCTATAACAGCATCGTTATTTGACATGTCGTCTGAAACTGAGGAACCGTGGATCCGAGACGCGTGAAACTGATAGCGTTTGAAGTGAGTGATCTAGCGACGGAGCACAGGTTCGTTACAAATGTCTGAAATGACGAATGTTTATGTGTGCTGTGACTCATCAGTAGGTCTGTAACATATGTGTCAGTAGGTCTATAGAATATGTGTATTTCAGACATTTATAACGAACCCCTGTTGATCAGTGCAGTGTAACAGACGATATTTCTGATAAATTGCATGAGCGTTAAAATTGTTTCCATTGCCGGCATTGGTGTTTTCAACCGATGTGCATTTTGTACGATATTGCAGACCTTGGTCTTGTTTTCGTTGTAATAAAAGTGTTTTTTATTTTGTTTTTTATTTTGCACATTAAGTTACAATGACATTATCAAATCTCACAATGCCCAGCGATATTTCAGCAGCCGTCATGTTTATTTACATTGGATATTGTAGTTCCGTTCAGTGTTGTAATTAATACGCTAAGAATTGTGTCTCGTGCGGCATGGTAATTATGTCTCGTGCGGCATGGTAATTAAAGTCCCATCAACGACACAGCTCTCAAAGAGGCTATATAGTGACAATGCCATGTAAATATAACTCCATGAACGTAATTTCTTCTTGAAATGCTTAAAGAGGAACTTGCAGCGGAAATGTAAATATATATAGATAACAATAATTATATACAACATGTATAATAGCGCCCTATTGGATTACCTGTACGCTTGGTGTTAATATGACCGGCGGCGTCCTCTTCACTAAGCGTCTCCACCCTGACACTGGATACCGTGTGGGTGTGTCCCTTCATCACCGCGGAACACTCCCCAAACTTGTACAACCACTCCCGGACAGTCCCGTCCGAACTTCCCGTGTAAAGCAGGTGACCAGACAACTGGAGAGAGACAATCATAAATGAAGCATGTGACCGGAAAACACAAATACGGTTACAGACCTTAAACACGACGGGAACCGGATAATTTACGGTATAGGAATCCTTCATACGACAAATGGCCGACCAAGGGCTACTACAAAATAAGTCAGTAAACAGGTAAAAAAAGTCATCTGGACGGACCAACAATTTTCTGCGTCCTTATATTTCATACTAATGTGTTGTTACGTGAATATTATATATTGAATATTGATGTCTTACGTATGTAAATAATACATGTAAAACTCTTTTATGCATAAAAAACATATTGATGCAAAGTAATATGTATATAACTGTATATTGATGTACATTATTATGTATATAACTGTATATTGATGTACAGTATTATGTATATTACCATATATTGATGTACAGTATTATGTATATAACTATATATTGATGTACAGTAGTATGTATATAACTGTATATTGATGTACAGTATTATGTATATTACCATATATTGATGTACAGTTTTATGTATATAGCTGTATATTGCTGTACAGTATTATGTATATAACTATATATTGATGTACAGTTCTATGTATATAACTGTATGTTGATGTACAGTATTATGTATATAACTATATTGATGTACAGTATTATGTATATAGCTGTATATTGATGTACAGTATTATGTATATAACTATATATTGATGTACAGTATTATGTATATAACTATATATTGATGTACAGTATTATGTATATAACTATATATTGATGTACAGTATTATGTATATAACTATATATTGATGTACAGTATTATGTATATAACTATATATTGATGTACAGTATTATGTATATAACTATATATTGATGTACAGTATTATGTATATAACTATATATTGATGTACAGTATTATGTATATAACTATATATTGATGTACAGTATTATGTATATAACTATATATTGATGTACAGTATTATGTATATAACTATATATTGATGTACAGTATTATGTATATAACTATATATTGATGTACAGTATTATGTATATAACTATATATTGATGTACAGTATTATGTATATAACTATATATTGATGTACAGTATTATGTATATAACTATATATTGATGTACAGTATTATGTATATAACTATATATTGATGTACAGTATTATGTATATAACTATATATTGATGTACAGTATTATGTATATAACTATATATTGATGTACAGTATTATGTATATAACTATATATTGATGTACAGTATTATGTATATAACTATATATTGATGTACAGTATTATGTATATAACTATATATTGATGTACAGTATTATGTATATAACTATATATTGATGTACAGTATTATGTATATAACTATATATTGATGTACAGTATTATGTATATAACTATATATTGATGTACAGTATTATGTATATAACTATATATTGATGTACAGTATTATGTATATAACTATATATTGATGTACAGTATTATGTATATAACTATATATTGATGTACAGTATTATGTATATAACTATATATTGATGTACAGTATTATGTATATAACTATATATTGATGTACAGTATTATGTATATAACTATATATTGATGTACAGTATTACATGTATGTATAAAACTATATATTGATGTACAGTATTATGTATGTAACTATATATTAATGTACAGTATAATGTATATAACTATATATTGATGTAGAGTTTTATGTATATAACTATATATTGTTGTACATTATTATGTATGTAACTGTATATTGATGTACAGTATTATGTATATAACTATATATTGATGTACAGTATTACATGTATGTATAAAACTATATATTGATGTACAGTATTATGTATGTAACTATATATTAATGTACAGTATTATGTATATAACTATATATTAATGTACAGTATTATGTATATAACTACTGTATATTGATGTACAGTATTATGTATATAACTGTATATTGATGTACAGTATTATGTATTTAACTATATGTTGATGTACAGTATTATGTATATAACTGTATATTGATGTACAGTATTATGTATATAGCTATATATTGATGTATTTTATGCATAGATTTTGTTGATGTCTTATGTTACTTATGAGAACTGAAATGTCCTGTATATAACTGAATATTTATAACTGTTTTACAGTGCTGCATATTTAATGATTGTTTTTGTACGGAGCTGTTTGTATATTGTAATCTTTAATCTGGTTCATATCGGATTCCGTTCAAGGTACCTTCGGTATTTACTAACGAGGAGTATTACTGATATGAGTCTTCAAAGTAAACACCCGGAGTTCAAACGGATGATAAACATACTTTCTTAAAGACAGACTGACTATCTATACATAGTAAATGACGGTACACATTATTCTGCATATATGTATATTCGTTTTGTTAATGAGCCAATCAATATTGAGGTCAATAATCACGTGATGTTAGGACATTTATACGAAGACGTTGTTGTATTTGAAGTGAGAATATCTGACGACCCTCCGTTCTCTTACTATGGGAGATTTCTTTCCTCAGAATTAACTGATATAGTTTATATGGTCGTAAATTAATTTTGGATCTATTTTTTTAAAAAACACGAAAAATGCTGTGATAAAATACACTGAGGATGAAAGTATGGGAAAACTTGTAAATTAATTCCTGGTTGACACTGTCTTAGTTGTGTTTAATGGCAAGATTTTCCAGAAGACTGTTGACATATACTCATGGGGACAAACTGTGCTCCTTCTTAACTGATCTATTTTGGCTTTCATATGACATTGGTAACTGTATTAACTATACAGTACTTTCATATGACATTGGTAACACCATCAACTATCAACTATACAGTACTTTCGTATGACATTGGTAACTCCATCAATCACACAGTACTTACATATGACATTGGTTACTCCATCAACTATACAGTACTTTCGTATGACATTGGTTACTTCATCAACTATCAGTACTTTCATATGACATTGGTAACACCATCAACTATACAGTACTTTCGTATGACATTGGTAACTTCATCAACTATCAGTACTTTCATATGACATTGGTAACTCCATCAACTATACAGTACTTTCGTATGACATTGGTAACTTCATCAACTATCAGTACTTTCATATGAAATTGGTAACACCATCAACTATACAGTACTTTCATCTGACATTGGTAACTCCATCAATCATACAGTACTTACATATAACATTGGTTACTCCATCAACTATACAGTACTTTCGTATGACATTGGTAACTTCATCAACTATCAGTACTTTCATATGAAATTGGTAACACCATCAACTATACAGTACTTTCGTATGACATTGGTAACTCCATCAATTATACAGTATGACATTGGTAACTCCATCAACTATACAGTATGACATTGGTAACTCCATCAACTATACAGTATGACATTGGTAACTCCATCAACTATACAGTATGACATTGGTAACTCCATCAACTATACAGTATGACATTGGTAACTCCATCAACTATACAGTATGACATTGGTAACTCCATCAACTATACAGTATGACATTGGTAACTCCATCAACTATACAGTATGACATTGGTAACTCCATCAACTATACAGTATGACATTGGTAACTCCATCAACTATACAGTATGACATTGGTAACTCCATCAACTATACAGTATGACATTGGTAACTCCATCAACTATACAGTATGACATTGGTAACTCCATCAACTATACAGTATGACATTGGTAACTCCATCAACTATACAGTATGACATTGGTAACAACATCAACTATACAGTATGACATTGGTAACACCATCAACTATACAGTATGACATTGGTAACTCCATCAACTATACAGTACTGACATTGGTAACTCCATCAATTATACAGTATGACATTGGTAACTCCATCAACTATACAGTATGACATTGGTAACAACATCAACTATACAGTATGACATTGGTAACACCATCAACTATACAGTATGACATTGGTAACTCCATCAACTATACAGTACTGACATTGGTAACTCCATCAATTATACAGTATGACATTGGTAACTCCATCAATTATACAGTATGACATTGGTAACTCCATCAACTATACAGTATGACATTGGTAACTCCATCAACTATACAGTATGACATTGGTAACTCCATCAACTATACAGTATGACATTGGTAACTCCATCAACTATACAGTATGACATTGGTAACTCCATCAACTATACAGTATGACATTGGTAACTCCATCAACTATACAGTATGACATTGGTAACTCCATCAACTATACAGTATGACATTGGTAACAACATCAACTATACAGTATGACATTGGTAACACCATCAACTATACAGTATGACATTGGTAACTCCATCAACTATACAGTACTGACATTGGTAACTCCATCAATTATACAGTATGACATTGGTAACTCCATCAACTATACAGTATGACATTGGTAACAACATCAACTATACAGTATGACATTGGTAACACCATCAACTATACAGTATGACATTGGTAACTCCATCAACTATACAGTACTGACATTGGTAACTCCATCAATTATACAGTATGACATTGGTAACTCCATCAATTATACAGTATGACATTGGTAACTCCATCAACTATACAGTATGACATTGGTAACTCCATCAACTATACAGTATGACATTGGTAACTCCATCAACTATACAGTATGACATTGGTAACTCCATCAACTATACAGTATGACATTGGTAACTCCATCAACTATACAGTATGACATTGGTAACTCCATCAACTATACAGTATGACATTGGTAACTCCATCAACTATACAGTATGACATTGGTAACAACATCAACTATACAGTATGACATTGGTAACACCATCAACTATACAGTATGACATTGGTAACTCCATCAACTATACAGTACTGACATTGGTAACTCCATCAATTATACAGTATGACATTGGTAACTCCATCAACTATACAGTATGACATTGGTAACAACATCAACTATACAGTATGACATTGGTAAC